CGGATTTATCATAGACAGGCGCAACCGAAGCTACCAAACAAAGTATGTATATTCACTTCATTTCCCAATTGCTATTCTGGCAAATCCACATTTTGTGGTGGTACAACGTTACAATTTTGACGTTGTTCATCTATATGTTTCTAGTGTGAAGATTCCGGATGTGATCAAATGTGTCTTCCTCGAGCTGTCTACCGTAAAACGGAACGGTCTCTTGAAAGTGCGTGGCATGATAGACCATTTGCTTGCATGTGCGAGGGTGATACTCCCGCTGACCTTATTGAGTGTGCTGGTGAGATAATGATATCACTTTGAACTTCTTACACATGTCAGTCGATGCTTCTTAGTTGATATCGCTACTGGTGGTAATGGACGAGGATTCTCGCTCAGCACTATGCTATTCTTTTTAATGTTGTCGATATTCGGTGTGATGGTACGTTTGTCTCCAGCGTGCTTTTAAGTTGTTTCACTGCTTTTAATCTTTAAGGCTGTCGTTTACTATCGTAAACGCAACTCTTCTGGAGCTTTCACAGCTTTGAATTTCGATAATCCAATCTACCGACGAACGACAGAACCTGACATGGATGATCCGTTTCGTGATCCCTTCAGGTTGTTTTCAAAAAATTTTTTCCCTTAACATTGAATAATAACTTTCTATCAGTGATAATAGCGTGCGTGTGCCAAGGAATGCTCGACTTGTGATGGCTGATCCTGAAGATAATGTCCACAACTCAATGGTGAGAATCTATTATCAAATAAGTGGTTTCAGTTAGGCAATTTTGTTAATTCACTTTTCTCTAAGGGTACGGTTTCTCAATTCATTTTGCTTACGCTGATATCACTCTAGTTTTTTTCACTGTTTCTATCTTCCAAAAACTGCTTTCTATCTTCAAACACAATCAAACTTGCAGCTTGTTATGTAAAATGATGCTTTTTAAAATCACAAATTTCACTGACTATGGCCTATAATTTACAGATTGAGCCCATGGACCGTCCTTTGACAACGTGAGCACTTTTCCTAAGGAAAAGTCGGCTCGCATATACGTGAGTAGAGGCTAAACTACCTGGCTGTCGTTCTGTATTTTAACGTTCTCACGCGATTTGTTTGAACTTCTAATCTGTCTAACCTTTCTATGTTGTGTTTCAACATTGTAATATCATTTCATTCTGGTACGGTTATGTGATGAGCGCGCCTGCGCGTGTCCCATGCGTTTTATGCTTCGAAAGTCGCTAGAGAGCTTTGGGGAACGGGGTTACTTTGAATGTTTGTGCGTATGCGTTGTAAATTGTTGAGTTTCAATGTCTCCTGTTTTGCTGTGATAGTGTGCCGCGGTTTCCGCACCGCTCCGTGATTGATCGGCTTCGTCATCACGCTGTGCGATGCGGGTCATGTCTACTCTCCTACCCCAGATTATCTGTTCACCAAGGCCTTCATATTAGATTCGTCGAGACATTCTTGTATGTATCAGAGATGCAGGTATTCCTTTGATGACCGTAGCAAAGCACGCGTCAACCGCAATAGTTGTGTCTCAGTACCCTTTCTTTTACTCCATGTGCGTATTCAGATCATTTTGACATTCAACTTTATGTCAGCCCATCATCTGAGATGAAAGGACTATCATTTGCTATTTTCATGTTCGTAACTTGTTAGTCGAGCTTCTCCTAGAATTTATTAGTTCATTGCTCACCAGAAGTGCATGTTTCCTGTAGTTTTTTGTACAGCTGATTCTGTAATAAAATTTTTCTTCACACTTTTTTTCAATGCTACACTTGTATCACTGATTGGGGAGTTGTGCTGATGTGCCGTTGACCTTAAAAAACTCTTGTAGCTTCAATTCATTGAGTTCTTAAATCACCTCATCTCTTTGCCAATTCGTGCATTTCTGCCGCGATGAGAATCAAATCGGAAACTTAACGACTATTGTGACGGAGGATTAGGTGATTACAACAAGCGAAGTGGGAATTATGATGGTGTCTAAACATTGCATCACAAGTATTTGGTGAGTTTCGCTATTTACGGAAGACTAACTCGCAATCTGCGTTATGTTTATATCTGTGGTCCTTCAACAAAGATCAAAGAATATTAGCTTTATAATCTATCTCATTTCGTCGCATATCGCAAGTATAACGGATGAAGACACCTCATTGAAAATGGCCAGCTATCTTTGTGATGCTCCTTGAACTAAAGGTTTAAAGCAATCGATCTGCGATCTCAAAATATAATCCAAATTCCTTTTCCATATCTGCTGAACGCTCTCTGGGAGGAACTGCACGCGTTTTTCGCTCATTTCTCAGTGAATGCATTTTTAATCAACTGATGTACAACCAGGCTCGAATCTCGTTAGATTGTTTTGCTTTACATTCTTATTTTTCAATTGTTAAATATGTATAAAAATTTAAGACCTCCATGTCTTTCAACTTTCCGGTTTTCATTACTACTTCATCCATATTTTAATTTTGGTTTTGAGTTTCACTTAAAGTATATTCTGAAATTAAGCTATTGTCAGTTGTATGCTTGATCCTCTGCCCCTTAATTTAGGGACGGATAGGCGGCCATCCTTGGCATTCCAAAACATATGTCTAGCAACATTTTCTACGGAAGATAGCAAACTGTGAACCGTGTTCTGCTTTCCTAATATTAGAAATAAAGCTTCAACACTTTACCCTCCCAACGATTGATAGTTTAGCTCTCAGTAAGGCTCTGCAAAATACGTAGGGAATTCGTGGTCTTCTGGGCAAAAATCAGCTTGTTACACTTTTATTACCGTATTGTCCATTTCTTAACATAAACAAGAGATGCGTTGAGAAAGATTACATTTTCGAGCCACGATCTCACCCCTCAATTTGTAAGCGAATGCTAGTAATTCATAATGAATAAGGATCCATTTCGAAAGGGAAAGGTGAAGAATTAGTAAGAATATTTTGCAGCTGCAACATCGAAACTTGTTGATAGGTAGAGGGGATACTACATGAACTTGATTCAGCTCAACAGTTATGGTCAAGTGACTTAATAAGAGGAAGCACTGCGCCAAAGCGAAAGATCATATAAATGACAACTATTTTCTTAACGAGCTTACTGATAAGTGAGGAAAAGCTACTACCTTTTCGGTTCTCTATTTTTCACCCTGATCCAGCTATGCGGCATAGATTCGTTTTCTTTCCTTAACTTCCAAGTCTTTTGTGGATGATTCCAAGTACAAACGGAATCAAATTCGTAGTATAGCTGTTTTAAGCAATAAGCCAAGATTTTAACTCTCCTTTATTGGCTAACGTTTCGGCGGTTT